TAAGAAAGATTTGGGCACATCTGGATAAAATGAATCTATCAGCTCGACTTTCTCCAACTCAAAGAGTCTTTGAGATGCATTGATAATTCGATGGCAATTCCCACAACTGTCCTAGGTTTCAAGGGGGCTGTTCCTGGCTTTATACATCGTTTGCAGCCTCATTGGTAGCTTGGCCAGGCTAAAATACTTCTAGGATTGAGGTCTTCTGCTGCCTGGAGATATTCTCAGCAAACGACGTCAGTTTAATACCAACGCAAACGTCCTTCTGTGGGGCATCAAAGGAATCCTTCAGGAAATGTTCTGTGGAAAGCAAGGACTTGTGTGTGAAGAACACATTTTTCCCCACATAGCATCGTTTATTCCTGGAACGGTCTTGAGGACCACACCCAGCCTCACACGGTCATCTGACCGATCCCTGAAGCTATCCTGACTTTAAAGGCTCTGTGGGAACCCCTTGAGGCACTTTTAGCACGGAGGCCTTGGCTTCGTGGATTACAATTTTATTTGCCTTTTCGCTAGTTTTAGGAAAACCTCCGGATTGGACGGCAAGGTGTTTGCAGACAGCAGGAACATTTTCAAAAAGTATTTTCAAAATTCTACACAATACTAATTTGGTAGGGTTGTGGGAATCTACCAATGTCTTTGACGCTGGGTGCGATGGCGTGGAAACCCTCCCATAAACGATGTATAGCGTATATGGCCGTGATGGCGAACCTATGGCATGCATGCCGGAAGTGGGTTGCGCACGCATTGCATTTGGGCACAGGCACTTTCGGCATGCGACGATGAAAAGGTGAGCCATCCCTGGTATATGGATTTTCCCTCAGTTATTCTTTCAATTGCTTAAGACTGATGCTATTCTTTTAGCACGTAGGCGTTGTTCTTTTTTGAAAGTGCAAACAGCCAAGACTTGGAGTGGTAGAACATGCAAACAATAAATCAATAGTTTTGATTTGTAGAGAGAAGGAAAATAAATTACAGATTGGTTGGTGAGATTGCCGGTAATGTTTTTAGCGTGTTTTAAAAGACAAGAATTCATTAAATTGCATGGAGCTGTGGCTCCTGTCAGTCCTAAAATTTTATGAGCATTACAAGTAGTTCACAATTATGACCATAACTGGCCCCTAAAATTCCCACTATTCCCAATAAGTGACCTTTGCCCCATTTTATGACGTTTGTTGCCGGAGTTGTGAATCACGGCAGTTAAGTTAGCAACTCGGTTGTTAAGTGAATCTGCCTTCCCCCGTTGACTTTGTCAGGTCACAAAAGTTAACCCGTGTGTGACTGCAATTGTCACAAACACATGGCAGTTGCTGCAACAGTTGTTAAGTGTGAAAAAAATGGATAGTAAATCCTCTTTTTTTTTCAGTGCCATTTTAAGTTTGAATGGCCGGTAAAGAAATGGCTGTAACTTGAGGACTGCCTAAGTTTCCCCCCACCCAATGAAGCAGGCATTATGCCAGCAATACCCCTTCTCCCTCCCCAAAGAGGAGGGGGCGGCGGCCCTAGAATATTTTTTCCTTGTAGTTCTGTGCAGATTAATAAAAGTTTGGTCCTTTGCTCTCACTAAATGCATTTTTAAATACTCGCCCTGCCTGCTCTCGGCTGGTTTTTGACAAGTTACTGCCATAAAAAAAAAGAAAAGAAAAAGAAGCGAAGAGCACACGAATAGTTTACATTATCGGGATGCAAACTGTATTATATTGCAAGGAAATAATGGTGGTGGGGGGGGGGGAAGCAGCTGTGTGTACAATCCTCCATTCAAACCATTTCTGAGAGGTTTAAAAACTTTGCACCTGCTTCCTCTCTGCAATCCACCCCACCTGGTTTTATTGTTCCCAACAGATCACGGATTCCACCCCCCTCCCCCTGCCAGCCAGCCATTTTGGGATGAAAGGGCGTCACTGGGAGAGGCTCGAAAGCATTCAGACCACAAATCCAGCAAGGCAAAACTTTCACCTTTTGCTGCGCTGGAGGACTGAGGCATATCTAGCATTGGGTCACAACCCAGAAGAAAATCACAGGTGCGTCTGTGAACTGCTCTTGGCACATACCACTATTACACTTGACAAAAGCAGACAGTTGAGGACAGGTAGTCCTCAACTTACAACAGCTTGCTTAGTGACCGTTTCGAAGTTCCAAAGGCACTGAAAAAAAGTGACCTATGACCATTTTTTTCACACTTGTGACCGTTGCAGCATTCCCCAGGGTCACGTTTTTTTTTTTTCATTTGGCTGTGCTTGACAATTGACTCACATTTATGATGCTTGCGATGTCCTGGGGTGGGGAACGGGGAAGCCAGATTCACTGAACAACTGTTTTGACTAACTGAAAAAGTGAGACATTTGTGAAGTGAGTTTCGCCCCATTTTACGACTTTTCTTGACACATCTGTTAAGGGAATCACTGAACAGATGTGGCAAGAAGTCGCAAAATGGGGCAAAACTCACTTCACAAATGTCTCGCTTTTGCAGCATCAATTCTGGGCACAGCTGTGGCCGTAAGCCGAGGACCACCTGCAGTTCCTTCATTGTTAGTTTGAACCCTATTTCGACAAGCTTGGAGCCTCTTCTGCCTGCTATTTTGCATATCCTGGGCCAAGGCAGAGCCACTGGAAGTAGCCTTTCTCAGTCTTTTTTATTTTGATTTGTCAATCGCTTACAAGATAATAAGTATATACATAGTTATGAATACATGAAATGGGTACATATAAGAAAAATGAAAGAAACCATAGGACAGGGACAGTAGGCACATTGGTGCGCTTATGCACACCCCCTACAGACCTCTTAGGAATGGGGTGAGGTCAATAGTAGACAGTCTAAGGTTGAAGTTTTGGGGGTTTGGGGAAGAAACCAGAGTCAGGTAGAGTATTCCAGACATTGACCACTCTGTTGCTGAAGTCGTATTTCCTGCAATCAAGTTTGGTGCGGTTAACCTTGAGTTTGTATCTATTGTGTGCTCTTGTGTTGTTATGGTTGAAGCTGAAGTATTCATTGTCAGGTAAGTCATTGCAATGTATGATTTTATATACCATACTTACATCAGACTGAAGATGGCGTAGTTCTTGGTTTTCTAGGTCTAGAATTTCGAGTCTGGTGGCATAAGGTATTCTGCAACGAGTAGAGTGGAGAACTCTTCTTGTGAAATATTTCTGGACTTTCTCAACTGTGTTAATATCAGATACGTAATGTGGGTTCCAGACTGGTGAGCTGTATTCGAGTATTGGTCTAGCAAATGTTTTGTATGCTCTAGTTAGTAGCGTGTTATTACCAGAGAAAAAGCTACGTAGGATTAGGTTAACAACTCTTTTTTTGGCTATGTAGTTACAGTGGTCTCTAGCACTTAGATCATTAGAGATGAGTATTCCAAGGTCCTTTACAGAGCTTAGATCATCAACAAGATCTTGACTATTCAGCTTGTATTTTATTTCCTGATTTTTTTTGCCAATATGTAAGACAGAGCATTTATTTGTTGAGATTTGAAGTTGCCATTTGTTTGACCATTCTGATACATAGTCAAGTTCTTTTTGAAGGGAGAACTGTGGTATTGAACAGCTTTACATCATCAGCGAAGAGAACGCAGTTGCTCTTAATGTGATCACAGAGGTCATTTATGTAGAGTATGAAAAGAGTTGGTCCTAGAACACTGCCTTGGGGGACACCACTGTTGACAGGTACAGAATTTGATAGGACACTCCCAATTTTGACCATTTGTTGTCTGTTTGACAGGAATGCTTCTATCCAGTTATGCAATTTTCCAGAGATACCATAAGATTTTATTTTTAGTAGTTTGTCATGCACCACTGAATCAAAGGCTTTACAGAAGTCTATGTAGATTGCATCTATTGCTTTGCCCTGATCGAGTTGTGTAGTCCGTATGTTTTTGCAGTGTAAGAGTTGCAGATTACAGGATAGTTTTTTTCTGAAACCAAATTGTTTATTAGAGAGTAGGTTTTTTTGTCTCTAAGTGGAGAATAATGGATTGGTTAAAAATTGATTCCATGACTTTACAGGTCTGTAATTTTCAACTAGGCTGGGGTCTCCCTTTTTGAAGATGGGGGTGATCGTGGCTTGTGACCATAGTTTTGGCAAGGAGCTGGTCCTGAAAGATTTTTCAAATATTATGCTTAGAGGTTCTGCTATGGCAGTGGATAGCTTTTTTAAGAAGTAGGCACATATTCTGTCTGGTCCAATAGATAGGGATGGTTTTAGATTGCACAGTGCTTTTTCAACATTCTCTTCTGTAAAATCAATATGTATTAGATCATTGTAGTTGTCTGTGGTTTGACTAGGAAGTACTGGGCTTGATCCATTGCTGTTTACAAATACTGAGCCAAAGAATGTGTTAAAGATGTTGGTTTTAATGGTGTCATCATTGCAGTCTTGTCCTTTCAGGGGAGGGATGGACCTTGAGTCTTTTGTTGTTTACAAAATTGTAAAAAGCATGGGTGGAATTGGTGCGTAGAAGGTTTTCCTCTTGTTTAATGTGATAATTGGTTGTCTAACAGATCTGGAAAACACTCAAGTGTTTGTATTCTCTGGTCTGTTTTAACAATAGCGCTTGCAAGAGAAGTATTTTAATTAAACCTTAAGAGACCATATAGTTTAAATTATATTACATTTTAAAAATTTAAACAGTAGGTATTGCAAACTTTTCTGGGAAAACATGCATTGGAAAAGTTTCATTGAACTGATGTTTAGTTTTGGAAATGAATTTCAGAACTAATTTCTCTATATTCCAGAAACCAATGGGGGAAAAAAATAGTATGAGGTATTACGGATGACTTAAGCAAAAACTGACATTTCTAATTTTTCAACTTTATACTAAGAAATCTATCCAAAAAGAAACAAAATAACGATCACACTTCGGGAATATTGCTTAGAAAAGTAATAATTTGCCCAATATTTCTTTTATAGAAGTCAGCCAGTCCTCTGTTGCCAGATCTTATGACTGCCTGCATTGCTTCAGAATATGGTTACAAAGAAATAAACAGCCACTTGGTTTCACTACACAGAAGTTTATTATGAACATGACAGAGAAAAAGACAGCAAAAGCAATGTTGATGCTTTAAGGCAACTCTTAAAAGATGTTCTATGAAGATGATGCAACTTCTGTTTAAATAGAAATTATGAAAATATCAAATTGCATCAATAACTTAATGTTTAAGTTCAATAGGCTTGCACAAAATAGCGAAGGAAAACACTTGTTGATCTTAATGCCAGCATTAAGATATAGAGGCCTCTTCTGACAATCATACCTTGGTTTAATAAACCTTTGCATCACAAGGCATTAAATCAGAAAATTCCTAATTAACCATAGCTTCATGTGTAATCCGAATTAAAAAATGAACTTCAGGTCAAGGAGAAATTAGACTGCAAAATTGTGATGTTTTTCATAATTTACTTTATTCTCTAAACAATTGGAAATTGAAAACTATGATCAATTTTAGGTGTCTTGATTTAATTGATTCTATCATGAACTGCCTGAAAGTATGGCAAATCCCCTTTATATATCCCACCTTATTAAACCAATGTGATCAATGGAACTGACCATAAGTAGCATGGTTCTAAGGAACAGGATAAAAATATTTACATACAAAGGTTAATATGCAATAATATAGTTTGCATACCTAAAGTTTTTTTTTCCTCCCTCAAATCATATTGGAAACAACCAGGTAACATCATGCTATTTGCAAATAAAAGGGAACAGAACATTATGGATGATAACAGCAGCTAGAAACTCTTCGAAGCCTTATTTCTTAAGGAAAATATAAAAAACACTGAAAAAAAGTATCAAAATTAATAAAAAGAAGTGTGACAATGATCTGCTTAGAGATCTATGTGGGAACAGTACCAACAATCAACCGTTAGAGTAAAGATAAAATCCAGGGTTGACACATATGGGGAATTTCACCAGCTATTAACATAAATTTGCAGTTGTTTCTAATTCAGCTCCCATTATTAAAAAAAAATAATGCATCTTATTCATTCTTCTGGGATCAGTAGAATATTTTGGAGAAGAGGATTATATACAAAACAGTAGAAATATAAATGCAAACAAAAAAAAAAATAACTGATAAGAAATAATTAGATGAGATGATTGCAGTTATATCATTATTAAAGTCAGTAAGTAGAACTTTAAAATCCTGAGGTTCAAATGATGTGTAGCCTTAACAGCCAGCTTGGAGAAATCTGTCAGGGGGTGGTTGTAGCTGCAAAGGCCATTTCTTTTGGGTCGATTCCTTTCCTTGCTGCAAAGGCCCCCAGCCTTTCTGACTTGGATCCTGCTGCCTCCCATCCTGTGGGTTTATTTGGGCTCTACCTCCCTAGCCACCAGCTCACCCTCCGAACCCTGTAAGAGATCTTAGAACGAGCACCAAGTTGTTGGGTTGTTGTTGTTTTTTTGACATAACTCTCCTTGACTTTCCCCAGGAAGAGTAGCATTTGTATGCTGAGTTACTGATTGGACCCATAGCTGGTCACAGCATTCATCTGCCCAACCAACATACACAACTTGGAATGGTGCCATGTCAATTTTTAAAAAGCAGGAAGCCCTGAAGTCGGAAGACCTCAAATTCCCAGTTTGTGGCCAGTGGACATCTTGGCTAGCTTACCTTCTTGCCCGCTCATTCATGCTCTAAAGTCCTTGGAGGGTGTTTGATGGGCTTTCTGAGGAGTGGGACAGGGTTCCAAAATTAATGAGAAACACCAACTGCTGCATTACCCAATGATGAACAAAATAGGCCCTTTATTTGTTGGCTAAAAATATCGAAAGACCAAGGAGGCACGTTAATGTTGCAAAACGTAAGCAGGCAAAATCCCGCCCTTGCATTTTGCCTTGGCTTTTATGTGGACGGCAGACTGGAAAAACTGAAAACCAGACAACCGTGATTCAACCTAGAAGGAGTATCCACTCTTCTGCCAATGACCACTATCTACTCCCTCTAAAAGTCTAAATGAATATTGCAAGCAGGTAGTTCAAGTGGATTGCTTAGATAAACAGAGCAAAACTACTAGATACAACATAAAGCAGAGAATACTTCTTGAGTAATAAATGGAAGAAGGGCAAAGTGAATATTGATTAATGTTACCCAAAAGCTTAATCCCATTGGAAAATATTGAATCAATGGAAAATAAACACACGCGCACACACACACACACAAAGGAACCTTGAAACCAGCATGAGATTTTGTACACACTGAACCATTGCTTAAATGTCTTGATTTCAGAAGTACAATCTCAGAATTCAATTTACAGCAGATGGTGCTGACAGGTTAAGATTCCTTTAAACATTTTGCCACTGGAAATGTAAACTAAAATAATAGGATGCTAACGTACTTTTAAAAATAAAACCATGTAATTCAGTAAATCAACAAACACTTGTCTTACTTGGTTCAGGCTGCATCATGTAAAAGGGTAAAGTCTTTTGCAAGTTGATAAAAAAAGTGCAAAAAGAGACAACGACAAAGAGTGTGTGTCAAAAGCAAGAACACTAGGACAAATTTCCAACATCTCATATAAAATTAGTTTAGAAAGTTTTGGTTTTTAAAGAACTCACAAAAATTTATTTGGACCCATCCTGAAATGAACAAGTGTCAGCTGAGGAACGTTTTTATGGCTGCGTAAAGTTCTCTCTTTGCTAAAATAGTGCCAAGAAATCATAAGCTTGCATAGAAAAAACAAGAATCTCAAATTCCCACTGGCGACATGCATAAAGAACAGGAACACAAGTAATGCAACACAAACATAGTGCAAACCATGGCAGGACATGATACTTTGGCTGCCGCAGATCAGGGAAAAGGTTAGATATCCATATATATATATATCTATATGTATATATATATATATATATATATATATATGCAATCATCACAGTTTCTGGTCTTTTTATTCCATAATTTGCCAAGTTTAAAAAGCGCAGCACTGCCTCTCAACGCAGTTTGAGATCATCACCACTTCCCAGGTTTGATCCAGGACTAGGGTCTTGTTGTCTTCTTGCCTAGATGAGACCAAGGGGACAAAAAGAAGGGATGGAACAGAAATTAGGGATAATAGAATGTTGAAAATCAATTCAAAATGTTTAAGATGACATTTGAAACCACCACCAGGACAACTAACAAACCAAAAACAGAATGATGGATGGTCTTGGGCTCACAATGCTGAGTCAGTGCCCAAAACGGAAGGTTTTAAAATACCCAATTCTAGATTTACATGTTTATCTAGGCATCTCTTCTCTTCTTTTGCAGAGACGGTTCCTATATTTTACAGAGTTAGATAGCCCGGGCAAGAAAACTTTTGTGCCAGAGATCTGCTTTTTCACTTTCACCCTGATTTAGTCTCCACTAACTCCAGACTTTCCTAACGTTGGAATTTTCCACTTCAAAGCTTCCATCTTTTTCTGTTACCATCATGAGACGCTATAATCATCTTGTTTTATTGCCACCTTTGAAAAGAGAATATTTAATGACAGCCTTACAGCCATTCATTGAGTGACCATTCGAAGTTACAACGGCACAGAAAAAAATCACTTATGACCATTTTTCAGACTTACGACCGGTGCAGCCATTCCTGTGGTCATGTGATCAAAATTTGGATGCTTGGCAACCGGATCATATTTATGACAGTTGCTGCATCCTGGGACCATGTGATCCTCTTTTGAGATTCTTCTGACAAGCAAATTTAATGGGGAAGCCAGATTCACTTAATAACCCTGTTACTGCAGTGATTCATTTAACGACTATCTATCTATCTATCTATCTATCTATCTATCTATCTATCTATCTATCTATCTATCGTGAACCTAGGCAATCTAGGTATTACTATATCAGTTTTTATGGCAAAGAGAATTACAAGCCTGTATCTTAAAGCTTACTTTAAAAGTTACTGTATCATTATTATCATCATTGTTGTTATTAAACATCAACCTATATACAGCTCCTTGCTTACTCAAGAACACCCTGAAAAGTGCCAATAGTTCACCATTTTCAATTAACCAAGTTGATGGCTAAGGAGTCATCCCATAATAATCTTTCCAGACAATGATTCTCTTATGGTCTGGCTGGTTGAAATTCAGCTTAGAACTGAAAAGACCAGGAAATCCTTAAGGGGTTCTCTGGGTTCTAATCTTTTCTTGTACAAATTGCATTCTAAAGGGGGTTCTAAAATTTACTGCCACAACCCAGGAAAGGCAGAAATATTTTCTCAGTTTGCATATGAATATCTTTGATAGTATGTTAAAAATGGCCAAGCCTGTACTACAACATTAATAAATGGAAGATTGGTTGTCCCTTTCACATCTGGTGCGTATAATGCAAGCCAACAAGCAAATAATAGATATGATGTTAAATGTTAACATAAATATTTTTCCCCTTTTCAAAGGAAGACAAGGTGACCTAAATTAGATATACCCTCTGCACATCTATGCATACACAATATTGACTGTCGAAAGTGCCTTCTCCCTTATACTTCAGAATTAGGTTCTGATTTGTGAGTTTCAAAGAGAGAGAAAAAAACACAACAATCGGAAGAGTTATTTCAATGTCCACAGAAGTATTTATGGCCATTTTATTGAAGAAGACATTGGACTGCGATGTGAAAACACCAGCGAAACAAAACCAGTAGCAAGGCAGCTACAAGATTTAATTGCTAAGAAAACCGCTTTCTTTTTGCTTAGAATCTGTGTTGTATGTAGCAGAGAGCAAATAATATTTGCAAGTCAAGCAATCCTGTTATACAGTATATTGTTTTGTTCAGTCAATGCAGGTTAAAAGGGGCTGATCAACAGTGAATCCCTGACTGACAGGGATCAATAGTGATTATATATTTATAGCATCACTATTAACATGAACTGTCTTTTTCAAATAAAAGCATTTTTTTTCCTAATAGAAAAAAAATCCTGAAGAAGCTAAGACCTGCAATAGACTTTCAAAAGGCATATAAAGATTTGTCCAGCTGAGAAAAATGAATTAATGTGCCAAGGATTCAGTTTTCAGTTGAGAAATTGCCCATAGTTTGGAGTTTCATGTTACTTTTTCAAGGAAAAGCTTTTGGTTTTTACTGTAATTGTATTTTCTTATAATCTTACAAGCTTCTTTGGTAAGACTTGGTGTCCTGAAAAACAGGCTAAACGTCTCTTAAATAAACAAATGCTATCAGAGCCTCAATTAAATGTTGAGTTCAGTATTTCAAAACATGCAAAGCAATTTTTTCCATGACCATATAGCTTGATATTAAATGTCACTTCCCCTTCCCTGTTTTCTATAGAAACCCATCAACCAAAGAGTAAGACATAATATTTTTCTTATATTTATAGTCAAGGCAACATTTTTCTTGCCTCTAGACTACACAATTTAAAAGCTTACCACACAGAGGAGTCTTGCTTCAATACAGAACTGCTTGAACTAAGCAGAATTCTAATTTCTAGAGTGCTGTAAAAGGTTGATACATGCATTTTTTGGAAGCTTAATCCAAGTATATTTGTCTTCCCACAAGGCAAAACAGCATCTTTTGTAAAATCCCCATTATGTGGTAGGACTTGTGGTGAGACAAAGCTACTACAAGAATAGCAACAACAACAGCACAATAGCAATCTCTTGTTGGGGGTATTAAAATGTATCCAGCAAACAAAATCCTTGTGATGTTCTTATTTCAACTGATTTATATGTCTCGCTGGGTTGTACAAATGGGATAAGCGAAGCAGGCAGCTTTATCTATCTTAGCTTCTGCAGCTCACTGCCCAGGGGGAGATAAGAACAAATAGTACAAGGACCGGCATTAAGACGATATATGCTCAGATGCTGATGTTGGGAATGCTTGCTTTGCTTCTCTGGTCAATAAGGAAGAGTAATAAGCTAGGGAAAGTGTACTTTAAATTCTAATAAAAGCATTAGGTTCCCAGTTGCATGAAAATTAAGGTGATAATAACCCCTGTAAAAAGGCACTCATTAAATGTTACATTGCATGCATTTCTTTACTCTGAAACATCATTAAGACTTTAAAATAGTCAGACAGGAAAACACACTTTACTTTCCATACATAAAAAGACATTTTGTAGGTAATATTTTCCAGATGTTTCCACATGGTATGCCGCATCAATCCACATGAATCTTTTGTCTCCTGGCTGTGACTACAACTCTAGCTCCTGTCTTCCAACTGCCGCTGTTCCTTTTCATTTCAAAGCCTGCTACTGCGTGTGTAGTAAGCTTTTAGAACTTTCTCTTACTTGCTTTAAAGATCACTGCAATTCTGATTTATTAAGAGTTATTTCCAGAAGATGGCTTCTCTTAAAATCCAGTGGTATATTTAATGGCAGCGTCTTGTGCTAAAAATAGCATCCCCCCCCAAAATGTTATTGAGGTTTCCATAAGGTATAGATCATTTAACTGTCCAATAAAACTGTTTTAATTGCTGAGCCAAAATTAGAAAAGGTTTTCTTTTTCAAATTATGTTTAAATTGGCTAAATATTCTCTTTCTCTGTTTTATATCTTATTCTCGAACTTGACTTTGCTAAAACGACGCATTTGATGTGCATATAAATGTTGCTTATGGGAATATTAATGAAGTCTTTCATTTAAGCAAGTGTCACTCTGGGGTAGCTACGATGTGCCTAAGAACGAGATTCATTCCTAGCCTTCAAAACTGAAGACAGTTTTGGAGGCTAAAATAAGGACCCTGCGGATGTTTTAGGAAAGAAGAGTTCTTAAGTTTTTGCACATGCAGAAGAAGACTAAAGCAAATAAAAATCTTTTACAGGGAAGAAATTGTATAAATAAAGAATACAATCTGTGATCATTTTCATATGCTGCTAAGAGTTGGATGAAGACTTCCGAAGCGCTGGCGCCTCTTTTGAGGAGTGGCGGACCAAAGAGAGCAGGGATTTCCCTTTTTATTGAGCTCAAATGTGGTATCTATTAAAGTAATTTAAACTACACATGGGCTTTTTTTTTTAATATAAAAGAAACTTTTGTGCAGACTGTGCAGCAATCCTATATGTACATTTGTAACAATGAGACTTTTAATCTTTAAGTATTCTAATTGTACGTGCTCCAGTAACCTCGCAATCTGAAAAACAGACAGCTCCAACAACAGCCCTTATCTTCTGCATGATCCTTGAGAACAGAGCTAAAATTCAAGGCAGCCTTTTGAATCTTTTCAAATATTCTGTGATTATGGAATTTGAAATGCATAAACTGAGGAAAATGAAAATGGTAAAACTGCTTAACTGGTCTCTTACTTCTAAATGATGGCTTTTTATCCTGGAACTAACAAACGGCGTTTAGTGCAGGGCTTCCACTTGTGGTGTACAGATGGATTTTGGCAAGATGCCCCCTCTTTAAATTAGTATACCCCCCCCCCCAATCAAAAAGACAAGCAAAGCCTTCACAGAAAAATAACTCAAGATATGTGGGCAATCCCTAAGACGGTGTCATGGGCAGAGGGAATAATCTGGAGAGACAGGAGGAAGAGCTGTAACCAAAGATAACAGATAAAAGGAGTCTGAGTTCAGGACAAAAACGTAATTTGAGAAAGCATCTCAAGCGTGACTGTCTCTAGTAGATAAAGAGAGGGAGAGGGGGAAATACATTCAGATTTGCAAGATGACGTTATTGCTCTGGTAGTCCTTAGGTTATGACAGCAGTCACAACCAGAATTTCCATCGCTAAGTAATGCGGTCATAAAGAATGGCAGCAAGGGCTGCACGGGTTATTAATCAAGGATTGCACCCGACTGTGATTTGGGAAGAAGCAGGAATTCAGCAAGGGAGAGTTATGGGGTGCAGGTGGGAGGTAAAACAGGAGGGCACTACGGAAAACGCGGTGGGGCTGGGAGTGACTTGGGACTTCCTGCCAGCTTCCCCGTCGACTTTGCTGGTGGGAGGCTGGCATGACCCTGGGATGCCGCAACTTTCGCAACTGCGCGCCAGTTGCCCAGCACCTGAATCATGGTCATGTGACCACGGGGAAAAGGTCTTGGTCATATGACAGCTGCAACTCCAAGGCCTGGACATAAGACCCCCTCTTCAGTGTGATCGTAACTTTGAATGATCGCTGGCCAACCAGTCGTAACCCGATGACTATCTGTATCTTTAGGGTGAAAGTAGTACAGCTAGACTTTGAGTTACAACCAGTTACTTAGCGACCGTTCAAAGTTACGATGGGGCCTCCCAACGTGTACTTAGCACATGACTACACTCTGTTGCTCAGCAATTAGGCCCACTTATGACCATTTGCAGCGTCCCTGTCATACAACTGTCTGTCGATGTTTTTGTGGAAAACTGGCATTTAATTTCAGTTTTGGGCAAAAGTCTTAGCAAACTACTGGTTTGCTTGATGATAGCAGCGTTTGCTTAACAACCGTGGTGATTCACTTAGCGACAGCCACAAAAGAGGCTGTAAAATTAGTTCCCTTACGTGGGTGACCCAATTTCGCTGACAGGACGAGGTGGTGAGGCATATATGCATGTATATAAAAAATTAGTGAACTGAACTACTACTCGGAGGGATTTTTAAACGGTTTAGCAAAGACGATGGGGATGGTGAATTGCGCACAGATCTTCCATACATTCTGCAAACATTTTCACCACTGCACTGACTCACTAAGCCCCTCATCAAAGCCAAGTGGGATTATTCCACTGTGTGTCTCCATCCTGTTCCCATCTTTCATTGCAGCAGGAAAGGAATGGTGTCTTATGGTTTCTGAAACCAAATTCTATATATAAACTTCAAGATTTAAGCTTTTTTGTTCTCAGTGGGAGAGAACAATCAGTTCTCTTTTACTTTTGGGGAGGGCATTTTTTTTTTTTTTTTGGAGAATGATCAGATCTACTTTTTGGAGAATGGTTACATCTTTTTTTCTTAAATATATTTGCAACAACAAAATATCCTGCCGTTTATATTAACTATGAAAAAACTGCTGGGGTTCAGGAATCAAAACACCTGAGTTGGTTTTAGGAAAATGTTTCTCAACCTTAGAAACTCTACAACATGTGGACGTCAACTCCTAGAATTCCTCAGCCAACGTGCTGGCTGGGGAATTCTGGGAGCTGTTGTCCACATACCTTAAAATTGCCAGGGTTGAAAATGCTGCTTGAAAGTTACTTCTGTGCACGAATTGCTTTTAGCTCTTTTTGCAAGAGCTAGTTTCAGATAGTTTCATGCTCAAACGGAAACATGTACCCTTCAGATATCCTGATGTGTACGTGCAATGAAATGGGACTATTTGTGAGGAGGGGAAGAGGAGGAATAGTTGAGGACAGGGGAAGGCAGGCCTGCAGTGAGGGGAGTTGAAGGCGCGGGGAGTAATAGTCCTGAGAAAACGGGGTGGGCACACGGATGGAAGGAATCATGCTGGGAGCAAGAAGTGAGAACATAATATGCAGGAGTCTCTCTCTCTCTCTCTACTTCCCCATCTGGAAACCCAGAGGAAGCGAAGCATTTGGGGCCTTAGTTCTGTCCTAAGTCCAGAGCAGGGGTCTCCAACCGGGGCAACTTTAAGCCTGGAGAACTTCAACTCCCAGAATTTGTGGAAGTTAAAGTCCTCCAGGCTTAAAGCTGCCACGGTTTGGACACCTCTGATCTAGAGCACAACAGTTTTATTCTGGGGTTGAAACAAAATTTCCCCCATTTTATACACACACCCCTATCTTAAATGTTTCTCTTACACACATCCCATCTGCCCTTTTAAGTTGCTTGTGCCAGCAGAAAAATCAAGGAATTGTAAATACAGGTAGACCTTGACTTACAGTTTGTTTAGTGACCGTTCAAAGTTACAGTGGCACTGAAAAAAAGTGAGATAGGACTGTTTTTCACCCTTACGACCACTGTAGCATCTCCAAGGGCCTGGCATTTATGACTGCTGCACTGTCCTAGGGTCATGGGATCAACTTTTGAGAACTTCTTGCAAGCAAAGTCAATAGGGAAGTTGGATTCACTTAATAACCGTGTTACTAACTTAACAAATGCCGTGATTCACTTAACAATGGTGGTAAAAAAGACAGTAAAGTAGGGCAAAATTCACTTAAGAAATCTTTCAGTTAGTAATAGAAATTTTAGGTTCAACTGTGGTCATTATTCAAGGACTACCTGTACATCGTAATATTTGTTATTTGTTCAAATGTCACCAAAGATAGTTTTGTCATTAAATATGACAAAATTTAATGTCATAATTAAATTATGACATATAATTCAATGGAGAATTCTATAATTCAATGGAGAATTCTACAGTATGCTGTCCCTTGTGCGTCACAGAATATTATAGCAGACATCAGGAATTAACCATGCCACAAATAATTCAAAATAGAATTCAAACAATTAACTAACCTTGGGACTATGAGATCAGCAATATTCCATGTTAAAAACTTGTTTTAATAGATAAGCATTTTAAAATAAATTTATGCGCTAATCTTCACTTGAACAACAGTTCTCAAAATCACAAACCTGAAATATCAAACATTGTAAAAAAAAAAAAAAATCGAGATGTTTGGTAGAGTACTAACCAGTAACTGACAGCAGCTGTGAGACTCTCACCTCCATTTCCTCCCGATGAGACCTATCTCTGTCTTCAAATTCTCGAGTTCTTCTCCGAGCTTCTTCAAAAGCCTGCTGTGCTAATGCATCTTCCTGCTACCAACCAGAAACCAGAGTCAGGAAGAAAAAAAGCAGTCTTACTCACATTGGAATCAAACACTTGTTTGACTGGAGCTGTCACCTGGCCGGATTCTATATTTTGTGGGAGAACCGAATGATGCATCGTGAAACAGAGCATACAACTGATAAGTGAGATACTGTTAATGCAGCCCTGTGGCTGTTTATATATCTCTTGTTTCAGTCTCAATGTTGCCTTGATAAACAAATGAAGCATTTTAAAATGGCACACCGGCCCCCTCGTTAAACACTTTATTTCTTCAAAATGGGTGTTTGTAAAACGGTATGGGTGTAGCTCAATTCAATCTGAGTTGGTCACTGGGACCAGAGGTTTGTTCTTCCGAGCTTCCAGACTTGTGCTGGAGCCCATTCTTAGAACTTCTCAACATAGAACCACAGGCCGGTGCACCCATCCTGCAGATTGAGACGTTCCCTGAGGATGGGCTCCAGCATTAGTCTGGGAGAACAAACCTCTGGTCCCAGTGACTGACTCACATTGGTTCCCGCAACATTATCCTGGGACATATACATTGGCTTTCATTCACGACAGCTTAATTCCTCTACTGTTATAATGGCCATGTGTGGATTCTTAAAGGGTGCCTGTCTAGTCATGCAGGCAATGAAACATAGGAAATAATTTACAGCCTGTATATGTGTGAGGAAATCACTCCTGATTTGCATCTTAGCAAAATTAAGAAATATGCCTGCTCTGAGTGTTGTTATGACATTTTAAAAAGGTGTTATCTTGGCATCATCTCTTTATAACCCTTGTGTATCGCACCAGATAATACCTGGCTGTTATCAGAAGAAAAATGTACTACAGCTGGGTAAAATTCTTGATATTATTCAATTGCCAGAGGCTTTATTGAATATCAGTGTCTATAATTTCAGCCTGACATTTTTAAATCAAACATGAGAATCTTCCTCCAAAAGTTTTATAATCTGGAAAGCTTTTTGTTGCATAAGTCTAGTATATTTTTTAAAAAATATTATGAGGTTTCTGCTAACATTTCTCAATTAACTATTCTGTGCTGAGGAACTACATGTCCAACCGCACACGGCAACATGTAATTCTGTTGCACTATTTCTAAAAAATATATTTATCTTTTCTTTTTAGCATGTTTTACCCTGCTAATAATCAAAAGCTGCATGTATAATTGTTAACATAAACACATAACATTTGCTCATATTCCATTAAGCAATCAGATTTTCCAACTGTTTACAGCTGATCATTGCTTTGGCTCCAGAGAATCCAGCTATATTTTAATATGCTCTGAGTACGTTAAAAATTAAATCTAAAAATCAAATGACGATACCAAAAAACATTAAATTGCCTTTTATGCCTAAGGCATTTTCTGAGCCCTTAAGCTATTTTGAGAAATGATGTAAAAGAACATCAGTGAGCCTTTGCCTAATTTAATACCAACTTCTATTAATCAATAAACATCAGTGAAGGCCTCAGCTAGCTGCACTGAAAAGCAACACCCATTGGATACTGGATTCTGCTTTCTTGTTGCAGACTGGGCCCTTTGGGTCAATTTTTATCTGGGTACAAAACAATTCCTTTTCAATGTGCCCAGATGGAATATAACACCAACCGCCATCTGGGAATCTTGTTCCTGGCCATTGTCTTAGCAGCTGCCATTTCATGATGTAAAAAGGATAGAGAGAGGACAATGTCAGTGCAGAGGCCGGAAAGCTCTCTGTAGCCATCCAAACCCTAGTATTCAGTTTTACAAATAAGGATTTTTTAGTTTTTTCTCCAAAGCATCACCTACCATAAGAAAAATATTTAACACCCAGTAAAGCATACACTGTCATAATCAAGCAATATTTACCAGCCTAAACCCAGATAAACTCAGTATCATCCAAAGAGATATGGGTAAATTTTTACTTTCCTTCTCTTGTAAATAGATGAATGACATTTGAGTCAGATCCTTTGGACATTTAAATTATGAGCAATGAATACGAAAGTAAAAAGTAAAAAGAATCAGGCAGATCCAAAGGTGCTGAACCTTTATTATGACTCTGCTGATGTTTTCAGTGTATTGTATCAGGGATCTCCCAACTTTGCCACTTTTAAAGACTTGTGGACTTCAGCTCTCGCAATTCCCCAGCCAGCATGACTGGCTGAGGAATTCTGGAGCTGAAGTCCACAAGTCTTAAAGTGAGCAAGTTGGGAGACCCTCTTATATGATTCCTTCAACCTCAATTTATAAACGTATTATACAAATGCATGAAGTTTTGAAATCACGGAATGTGAAATCACAGAATGAGAAGCCTGTGGCCCTCTTCTTTACCTGTGCTCGCTCCTCATCAAATTCTAGGCAGCCCATGCCGTCCAGTCTTTGGAGATCTATCCAGCCTTTCCAAATAACACAAACCCCATTAAGGATCATGGGTGCTTTTAAGTAGACCTGGAAAGTGAGAAAACAAATACACCTAGTGAGGATGATGTCTAGGAACATGAATCCAGGCAGACATTTTACACATGTCACACTATTATCTCTCTCTGTATCTTTATTTTTAATGTGACCTACAATGGCCTTACAACATCATTTTTTAAAAATAAAAGGCAAGATTCCAACTTTTAATACCAAAATGTCATCGTGGTAAATCCTACAAAAATGGACCAAATAAAATATAAAACCACAGAGACACTTTCCCTACACAAGGGCTCTCCAATCTTGACAATTTTAAGACCCGTGGACTTCAACTCTCAGAATTCCTCAGCCAGCCATACTCGCTGGAGAATACTGAGAGTTGCAGTCCACAAGTCTTAAAGATGCCAAATTTGGAGAGCCCTCTCTACACAACCCACAAACATGAGGCTAGGATCACACACCATATAAGAAATTAAGAATGTGCAAAGCAGTATGATTTTTAAAAAAAAAACACAGTCCAGACTTGAAGGCAGCATTGTTCTAAGTGCTCAGATCATAGGACAACAAGAAACAAATCACCAGTATTCTGAATTTTGTTTTAAAGTTGGAACAAGGTGTTTTTGAACTGTTTTGAGCTGCCTCTCATTTTGTGCAGACCACCACAGCAATCAGACTGATAACACAGACAAAACTTCAGCTACTATGTTAATTAAGATTCTGTCAGGATTATAGCAGGACACTGGCAAAACAACAACCAACTTTTAAAATAAAGATTCAAGCTACAAGTTTACTATCGAATATCTACAATATGGTAACAAAAAAACCTGCAGATATTCAAATACGAAGAGTTTCATTTTGTGATTTGTATTTTTCTCAAATCTTAGGTTCTATGTAAAAAACAAAACATCCATATTATTTTGCCTAATATAGTACATTTAATAAAGCTCACCAAGAATGAAAAAAACCCCATGAAATAAGCATGGACTGCTTAGAGTTTTTAACAGTAACAGCTTTTACTTTTAAGTTATTACAAAGTGTTTAGATTATAACAATTGTGTTGAAAAAATGTATCCTTTTAAAAGTGCTGGCACAATAAACACTGACCCTGGAAACATCTGTGTAAAAAATGTGTTAGGGCTCTTCACAGACTAGAGGAGAGTCGAGACCACGCTGGAACGGAATTAAGTTATTCCAGGTTTCATTTGAGAAGAAAATTCTCAGTCATTGAATACAGGCGGTCCTTGTTTAATGATCACCAACCACTTCAATCGTGCTGTATGACTGGAAGTTACAACTGGTTGTCATGTGATCTGTGATGATTCTTGCCAGCTTCCCATGAGCAAAGTCAATGGGGAAGCCAGAAGGAAATCACAATCATGTGGGCTCCTCGCTTAAAGACAGTAGTTGGGGATTACTGGAACTGCTGTCACTAAGCAGTATGGTCATGTGATGTTGCGCTTTAAAATTGCATTGCTTAGAGGCATAAATTCTGGTGCTATTTATACCAAGCAAGGTTACCCGTAAAATCTATCAGAATCATGAAAGGTTTTCTGGTCTTCAGTTTAGAGAATTCTAAAATATGAGGTTTTTTTTATTTTATAATTTATCGGATGTGGATACACGTCCTCAGGGCTTGGAGATGCCAGATTCCTTTTTACAAGTTGTATTTCATTTGGCTGATTCAGAATGAAAATAACCAGTATTATCTCTCTCTCCCCACCCCCCAACTCATTTTATGGGGGTGGGTCAGCATTTAGGGAGAAACTTGGCAAAGAAACTAGGCATCTGTTCAATTTTACCTAACCTCATTTAAGACACTTGTTTTTTTTCCCCTCAAAAACAGTCTAGGTGGCTTCTTTCTTTCTTTCTTTCTTTCTTTCTTTCTTTCCTTTTCTTTTTCTTCCTTTCTTCAGCAAAAAAAAAAAAATTCAAAAGTATCTTGTCTAGAGCGTAAGTGTGTGTCACATCAGATCTATCCGTGTGATAGCAAGGGCACTACCGGTAACTAGAATTTCATCACGGAAAAACATGATGAAAATCTAGAGGTCAAAAAGAGGTTATCTTAGACACCAGGATGCAACCCTCGAAACTCTGGTGCTCTATCAAAGACGCCTATCAAAATCAGGTCGTGACGTGACATCCACAAATCTAAGTATAGCTTGTTTCTGAAGTCCTCCTTTAACTCATTAATGACTTTGAAACAGCGCAAGAATTATTGTACCAGTTTGAAATAAGAGCGGTATGGTGTTGCACTGATTACAGTTTATTTATTGTGGGTGGAAATAAAATCCCTGTTTCCTATTAAATTGTTTCCCAACAGTTGTGAACAACAATTTGCAAAAGGAGCTGTGCTTGTTTTTTTCTTTCTTTCAAGTTGAACCTACCAGTAGGAGCTTCTGTCTTCAATAGTGAGATTTCAATACAGATAATCTTCAATTTATGACCACAGCTGAGCACAAATTTCTGTTGCTAAGTGAAACATTTGTTAAGTGAATTTTGCCCCATTTTACAACCTTTTTTTGCTATCGCTGTTAAGTGAATCACTGCAGCTCTTTAGTTAGTAACACGGTTGTTAAATAAATCTGGATTCTCCAGCTTCTCTTTGCTTGTCGAAAGGTTGCAAAGGACCCCAGGACACAGCAACAGTCGTAAAAACGTATCAAGCTGCCAAGTGTCCAAATTTTGATCACGTGACCATGGGGAGGTTGCAATGATTGTGTGGGAAAAAAAAGTCATAAGTCACTTTTTTCAGTGCTGTTGTAACCTTGTTCACTAAATGAACTGTTATAGTCTAGAACTACATGCACGGTTTTCCATTTCAAAAATGCCTCTCTCCAGATGGAGGTTTAATAACAAGAAAATTGAAGATGATGCTATGACTAACAAACTTTTACTAAATAAGACTTTTTTAAGGGGCTGGGGTGAAGGAAGGAAAAAAACAACAACAGGCCAGTAGCAAAATGATAATGCTTCCAGGGCCACAGTGTCTTTTTCAAGTAGGAGTATCAAAAACATCAATGTTTGGGCTCTGAAATGACTGCTTTAAGTGTCCGGAGCTTAGAACGAAACACTTGGTGTTCTGGAGTTTTGTCCCCGATATGAAATAAAATAAGGCCTTCGTCTTTTTCTTTTCTTTTCAAAATCTTTCAAGATGAAAAATCTTAAAGAGTGCATTAGCCTATAAAGTACCCTGTAGACACAGCTTTCACCCACTTCTTACTGTCAGAAACTGTTTGAGGAGAATTGGAGGTGAAGGAGAACAGTTAATAGTTTTAAGAGTTAGAACCATTTGAGATTTGGGGGGGGCGGGGAGAGACCACAGCTAACTTGGCAGGTAAGTTTATCCCGCTGGTTTAAATTGTTTACAATAGGAAAGTTATTCATGAGTAAGCAGTGCAGTGATGTCTCATGAATTGGGTTTTTTTTTTAAAGGGAGACTGCCAAACTCACTTATATTCTGAGTGTTTTGAATCTGTTAAAAGGGCTGCTCTAAGCTCAAACATGTCTTTCCTATTTCATACACACACCGTCAGAGAAGTCTATTTCTGCCATTATGTTTTTACAGGCTGTAGAATCTATCACATTTTTTTCCTTACTCAATTCAATGGATATTTGTACAATAAAGCTCTAAAAACCATGTTTTATCACTTTATGACTGCTTGACTCTTCTGCTATAAGACTTTTAAAAGCGTTTCTCTTGCTGTTTTTTCTAATGTTGGAGATGTACATTTACAGGGGGTTCTCACTTAAAAACAGGTTGATGAATGATTGTTGGAAGTTCCAACAGACAACCCCCCTCTAAAAGTTACTTTTGACTACTATAGCTTGAAAGTTACAATTATTCTACCTCTTGCAGTCACACAATCGCATTTCCGGTGCTTGGCAACTGGTTTGCCCTTACGTTGGATTGCAGGGTCTTGCCATCACGTGACAGTAATTTGCAATGGTTTTGCCCAATTTCTGGCACTTTTTCCTGGTTTCTGGCAAAAAAAAAGGTACCCATTCGGGAGAATGGATTTGCTTAACAATCACGTGTTCCATTTAACAACTCCAGTAACCACTTTATGATTAACGTAAAAATGGTTATAACGTTGTCAGGTCACATAGTGAGCTGTTCTCGCGACTGCAAGTCCAGGCTCAATTTTGTTCATTATTAAAATGAGGGCTTACCTGTAGTTTGGACTTCCACACAATTTTTGTGATTGCATGGTGAAAAATAATGCTGCAAAAGACTTTTCAGAAGTTGCTTTTGCTCAAAACAAATTTCCCCCTATTTCATGCACATTCCACTCATGTCTATAAGCCAAGACACTCGGTACAAATAACCATTACCTGTAGTACTTTTTACACATTTTTGTGAGATTTAAACTATTAAATGAGCGTTAGCTTGCTTTTCAACATATTCCAGGCTGGCAAGCTGAATTACAATTATAAAAAGCCCACAAGTATACCTGGTACTTCAGCAGTTGGGCATTATACATTATTTATTTACCAAATTCATATGTGACCAATTTCACTGAGCTCATGAAGTGTTAAAGCAATAAAAATATCTCTAGCATGTGCAGCACTCTAAACAATAAAGCATCCCACACAAATATTCGAACAATCATACCATCATGAAACACCTACAGAATAATGTAACAAGCACAGTAACACCTTACTATCATCACACACGAATCTCTATTACACAATTTGATGACAGTTACATTACATCCTGCAGTTCAGCTTACAAGATAGCAACAACAGACAATATCCAACTTCAAAATGCCTCTAAAATAATTATGTTTCCAATATTTTCCAGAAGCTACTATAGTAAGGGACTATTTGATACCCAAATGGAAGCTGTTCCATAATGCTGGTGATATTTGGCTTCCTCCCTGCAGTAATCCTGAATTTAGTTTAGACTAGGCCTCCGAATCTTGGAAGTTTGCTGTTTTCTAAAAAATTCCCTTCCAACTGAAATGTGCAAGCAAGCTCCGTAGCTCCATGTTCTGACATTTTTCTTTAAACCACATAAATGAATATTCTTCCCT